TGAGTATTTGGACTAGTTCAGAGCTGTGTTTTTTTTCCCCAGGGTGCCCACAGGCAATCCTCAGAGAGCCCCGTGTGACCTCCCCTCCTGTCACTCTTGTAGTGCAGAAGATCAACCCCTGTGTGATGGAGCTCTGTAGGTTCTTTCAGCTGTGCCTCTGTGTCGGTCAGAGAAGATACTCCAGAAAGGAAGCCATGAGGTAAACCTGGTGCTAGTTTCTCTTTCTCTCTCTGTTTTAAATACTCCATCAAGTTTTTTTCCAAATGACAATTTTCAATCACTCATGCTTGTTTTTGAGAGTCTGTGGCTACTGGCTGAGACCCAGATGGGTCCCAGAGCACTGGTCAGTACCTGATCTTGCTTCCTGTATTCAGACTAACTGAATAAAGCCCAGCTGCATTTTTCTAAATATCTAATGACATCATTGTGGTTGTACTCTGGTTTTTTATGTCCATATTCAATAGTACCAGCATGGTATGCTGTGCTTATAGAATCATGTAATGGTTTGGTTTGGAAGGACCTTAAAGATCATTCAGTTCCAGTCCCCCTGACATGAGTAGGGAACAAGTTCCAATAGACCAGGTTGCTCAAAGCCTCATCCAGCCTGGCCTTGAACACTTACAGGGATGGGGCATCCACAGCTTCTCTGGGAAACCTGTGCCAGTGCCTCACCACACTTTTGTAAAGAATTTCTTCCCAATGTCTAATCTAAACCTGCTATCCTTCAGTTTAGGGCCATTCCCTCTTGTCCTATCACCACATGAGCTTGTGAAAAGTCCTTAATGAAAGATAAGCTACTACCTCCTAACTTTAACTACATCTTCAGGTACTGTGTGGAATACTATTCCTGGTTTGTGAAAAATGCAAGTTATGTCTGTGAAAGAGTCAAAAGAGTTACTTACTCCCACAGTAAGTACATTTTCTTTTTATATATCTATATCTCTACATACCTTATTGCGTAAATATAACATAAAATTGTACATATCCACAGACTGTTTGCTGTCTTTCATCAGGTAGTTGTTTTATCTGATAATGACTTTTAAGGGATTGAAAAAAAAAGGATTATTTGACCTTCATGTATGTTTTTAGTATTTCCTCATATACCCTCCTCTAATGAACATTTTCTTGTGTTCTTCCAGCATTAAAGCAAAAATGCCTCAAAAACATCTGTGCGTCTGTTTAGAGAATTGGGAAATGTCACTGCAAGTTGGAAGACTGTGGCAATTTTAGTTGTCTTTTTTGATTTCTCAGTGTAAACATCAGAATGCAACATGTTTTTTGCAAATATTTGTAATAAGAAAAGCTATTAACCAGATGTTAACCTAGAAACCTCTCTTCCTCCAAGGCATTGTAAAAATAATGTGTACAAACAGATATATTTTATACAAGTGATGCAATAAAATAATTGAAAGGCTTTTAAAAATCTTATTTTTAAAGGATATTTATATGGTTAGCCAGTGAATGAAAATAGTTTATACTAGTTTTGTTTACAATTAAGACATAGTAATCGAAATGAACAAGCACAAAATAATTTAAAAGCAACCTGAAATACTGAAGACAAGAAGGACTTTCCCTAGTGTTAAACACAGATTATCTTCTAAATCAAGAGTTTCCCATTACTCAGCAACACATGGATTGCAGAGGTCAAGCCCGGAAGAGTTCAGGCCTCTTGTACTTTCAGTCTGAGACATATTTTTGTGAGCTCACAAGGATTCATAGAAACACAGAATCATAGATTTGTTTGGGTTGGAAGAGACCTTAAAGATCATTTACTTCCAATCCCCCTTCCATGGGTGGGGATCCCACCCATGCGATCACGTTGTTCAGACCATCCAATCTGGTCTTGAACACTTCATGTCCTTCTTTATGTGCAAATCTGGTGAACTAAAAGCCAGTTCTGAAAAATTAAACAATAACCAATCCAATTGCATGAGCCCATATTTTGCTACCCTGCAGCAATATCATGCTGCTGTCTCCACAAAACAGTATCATCAAACCATTAATATTCTTTTCAAAAAGAAGTTTATTTGCACCATATCTGGTGCACATACCCGTTCAAAGTAAGATGAAGCCAAGGAGAAAGGTGGCACCGTAAGGAATGCTGACCCCAGGGAGGGGTGGGATGCAACAACCCTCTTTCCAAATACATTTCACCCTTGTGCCCATGACAGAAGCATTTCTGTCATGTCAAAGAGCAGGATAGGTTGGAGTAGTACCAATTACAGTTCATATTGAAAGTTAGGCTAATGGAATAAGTAGGAATGTCGATACGTTGGGAATGTTAACATGGCCATGGTATTGTGATGCTGTGGGAGATCTCGCTCTGCAGCAGCTCTCTCAATGTGTGCCCTTTGCCTCTTGTCATGAGAGGCTCCTGTCAGAGGCTGGCTCTGTCCTATTTGCACCCTCCCTTTGGGTGTTCATGGGCATTGATGAGGTCCCACTGAGACTTCTCTAATGAAGAGCCCCAGCTCTCTCATCCTCTCCTCATGAGAGATGTTCTAGCCCATCACTTTTGTGGCCCTTCTCTGAACTGTCTCAAGTTTGTTCAGGTCTGTCTTATACTGAGGAGCCCAGAACTGGACAGAGGTGTGGCCTCACCAGTGCTGAGTAGAGGGGTGGGACCCACTCCCTCGATCTGTGAGCAGTACTTTGCCAAATGCAGCTGAGGACATCCTCAGCCTTCTCTGCTGCAAGGGCACACTGCTTGCTCAAGTTCAACCCAGCAGGACCCCAGGTCCTTTTCTACTGAGCTGCTTTCCATCTGAGTGGCCCCCAGCACATATCTGTATATGAGGTTGTACCTCCCCAGGTGCAGGATTTTGCACTTTGTTGGACTTCCTGAATGTCCTGTTGGCCCATTCCTTCAGGCTGTTGAGGTCCCTCTGGATGGCAGCGTGACCCTTTGAAATATCAGTCACTCCTCTCAGTTCAGTGTCATTTGCCAGCCTGCTGAGGGCACACCCTGCCCCATCATCCAGATCATTGATGAAGATGCTAAGCAAGACTGGACCCAGCACTGACCACTGGCACACACCACTAGTCACTGACCTCCAAATAGACTTTGTGCCACTGATCACCACCCTCTGGGTCCCACCAATCAGTTGGTTTTCAACCCACCTCACTGGGCACAGCCAGCACAGATATCAACAGCTTCTCTGTGAGGACTTTATGGGCCCACCGTGTCAAAGGCCTTCCTGAACACCATGGAGTTCACAGACTCAGAAGGAGCCAAGCCTTTTGTTCAGGTGAGTATTTTCACAATTTCAAATTTGTCAGACTTCTCCATGACAAAATTCACTGGGCAGTTTGCTTTTGTTGATGGACTCTTTGCAGGGTAGCTGTGTCTGGCCCTGGCAGGAAGCACACCTTCCCAATGAGGAGAAGCCTTCCCAAAGCTCACTGACTCAGCCTTTCCCTGGATTTCTCTCAGCCTTGGATCAGAGACTCCGTGGATAGACAAGAGCCGACTTCCCAGCCCTGAGGAATGCCAGTGTTTAAAGCTGTGTAAATTCTCACTCATCTTTCATCACTGAACTCTACCTCTTGCTAAGCTATTAAAGCCATATTCACATGCCCAAGAGATTTGGTGAGTGATTAGTAACAAAGGGATGATTGTTATTTAATTACAGCCAGGAGTATTAGGGAAAGTTATGATACAGTGAATGCACCTGCAGAACAGACTTCTCAGTATAGATCCTTTACGTGGCTGGGGCCATATTACTAAATACACTCTGGGCATAATGACTCTAAGGAATTTTGTGGAAGAATTAATTAATAAATGTTGAAGTGGGTTTGATAAAGGAAGTGATCACATGGGTGAGGTTTATATACAGGTGGGTATAAATAACTTAGTACTGACTTTGTTGAAATCCATTTGTCTTCCATCCAACTGCTTTCAAATAATATCTCTCAAGGTAAGCCTTTCTTGACATATTCTATAATACAGGAATCAGGAGGAAAATGATGTAGAATAAGCTATTTTGGACTGTGGAACTGTAGACTAAAGAGTAGGTAAGAAATTTGGGATAGTAGACGATAAATATTTAGAGCTGTTAGATTTATAACCTCACTTCCTGATGAAATATTACAAGATTTTATAACAGAAATGAATGCAGTATTTGAACTTAGAAAAGCAAATAATCATCAGGAGGTACATATTTGAAAACTGATATATAAATATTCATTTATTTGTCTGTAAAAAGCTCCATACCTGATTTACTTGGAAAATCATTCCAAATTTAGAGTAACCTGTGACTGTAGTTAAAAAAAAAATCTATTATCTTCCATTTAATGAATATCAATGCAACACTTTCAGCTTCAGAATTCTTTACACATTTCTGTAAATTCAAGCACCGCCAGAACCTGAAGCTCTCCAAACATCATGTCTGTCATTAGGAAAATTTATGATACATTAGATCAGTCTCAACACAGATTAGAATAAATGTTTGACTACAAAGTGAGAAAGATTTTTGTGATATGAAACAAACTAATATAATGGATTGAAGATTAACTGGAGTTAATAGAAGTAATCCCAGAATATCTTTTCATTTACACAGTGCTTCATGATATCTGCATTTAAACATATGAAGAATTGTTTGAATATCCTGTTATACCAAGGAAAATATGAAAACTGCAGACCAAAATAATCTTCAATTGCATCATTTTATTGCTAAATGTTACTTTCACAGAGTCTATTGACTCACTTAAAGCAACACCAAAACAGATATTTTTAGTCAGATTTACAGAGGACTTCGGTAAAATTTGAAGGATACATAAACATCATCATTTCTGTAATATGTGCATTTGTTTTGATAAGGGTAAAAAATGAATTGTATCAAGCAGAAATTTTTCCAGGCTACAAAAGAATGATTTCCTAAGCTAATGTCTTCCCACTTTCAGAGTCAAGAGATAATATTCTGCCTAATATTTTGCTTAACTCACCAGGCACACCAGTCTGCTGTGTGGCTTTTTTTCTTGTCTTTGGATTAAACAAAAAAATGATTGTAATTCTGCTGATGTCTATGTCCGTGGTGGTGTACAGTGGTAAGTGGCAATGTATTTTTATGATTATTTGACATTGTGTCAAAATTTTATTTTAAGTATGAGCATTTGGAAACAATCCTTCAGAAACACACCTTCTCTCCCCTCAAACCTTGTTGTTCAACATCCAAATGCACTTAAAAGGTTTATTTATGAAGTACTTATAAATATTTTTTTCTCAGGACTTCTAGTGAAGCAAGAAATATTTTGTGGGGCTAAAAATATAACAAAAAAATTGCAACTTCCCTTTGCTAGCACTTGGTCTATTTACATCTTTTAGACTCCAAAAATTGCATGTTACATATAAAAAGATTCTGCTCATTAAGTACATGTGTACTGTCTTAATTCTCCAAACTACTCAGTGCATCCTGTAATATAACCCGTGTTCAGTTAAAGCCCCGCATTCAAATTTTACTATGAATAGAATTTTTTTCTTCATACAGCTCTTTAGATTTTATTGTTATAATTGAATGAACTTCCCACAGACAGGGATGGTCAAACACCTGAAATTTCTGCAGTACCTGTACTGTGTAGGAATGTCAGTAAGAGTTGTGATGTGCAAGTGAAGAGAAGGACTCTTAGAAGGTGTAACACCATTTCTGGTCCATATCTAACACAAAAAACCCACACAGGCTAAAATATATTGATGAAGCTGAACTTTAGGTCTCCCCTATATAGAGAGAAATCAGCGAGAATATTCACATTTCCCACTACAGTGATAGAGAATGCTGAAATACCTGCACCATTTATTAATTTAAAAAATATTTTAAATTTTTAATAGCATTTCTTAATAAAATTTTAAAATTTTATTAATTTTTTTTAAATATTGGTAGTGCACTTAAAAAAATCTGGTCACTCATAAATTTTTCTCACATAACATTTGAAAGAGACCCCAAAAAGCTCAAAAGACTGTGCAACAGTGTCTGGATTCTTTTCGCCCAGCTAAGCACATTCTGAGCACAAAGATTTAAAATGTTACTGTGTTTAAGTTTGGAGAAGATAATTGATTTAAGTTTGATTGGGATCTATTCTGCTGATGTCTGCTTTGAGACTGAAGCAAATATCTGTACATGAAGTTGCATCTTTGAGAGAAGGTAATGTGATTTACCTTGAATAAATCAAATAGTTTGGGTTTGATGCACCCTGACTTTTCCTGGCACAATCAATATTTCTTCTCCCCAAGGATTGTAATGACTGTACCTGTGCCCTGTATTTTGACATTTTAATGAGCCACAATTGCAAAAAAAAAAAACAACTGGAGGTGCACTGATGGTTTTTTGATGGGCTTTTTTTCAGGCAACGCTTCAGAAAACTCTCGTCAGACTAGGAAAGTCACAGGTGCAGTCCAGAAACCATTTTACGTGTAGCTGAATGCTGAAAGAAATTCCATGGATACCGCGTACAAAGGGAAATATGTGCCAAGTTTTTTAGCAGATTTTTGAGAAAGGCAAGAGAACTTGACATCCTCAGGGTCTTCTGAGATTTAGAGGACTGAGTTTTGTAGTGCAGTCTTTTACTGGTTGCACAGGGAATGACGCAGGACCAGTAGCTCCAAATGATACCAAAAGAAGAAAAGAGAGTAGTTAATCCAGAAAGTGGTTTCTCTTTGTTCCTCCCCCCGTAATTTAAACAAAAGTAAGCAATCTTGTTAGCAAACATCGGTTCATTGATCTTGACTTAGTGACAATTGGAAATATTGTTCTTTGTAATGAGAGGATTAGAAGAGCCAATGGTTTACAACACTGCTGACCCCGTGGCAGAGATTCTTCTCCAGGGAGAACTTCAAACATTTATGTGTTAATTGGGTGTACAACTCAGTTTGCTGAGGAGAATTAAGTGCAAATGAAGGATACTGGAGCAATCACAGCTTCCAGCAGCCCTGAATATATATGGCTCCATCAATTTTCTCTTCTGATGCATTTCAAATCAATGGGATTTTCATGTTTCTCAGAATTTTGCTGAAAGGGCTAAATGCTCAGTGGCTGTTCATCAGCAGACACTGAGTTTGAGCCACAGTGTTATCCTGGCTCTAGGTGCACTTGATAGAACACAGCTCAGGGGAAGGATATGTGTCATGGCAGAGGAAATACAAGTTCTAAGCCTGGAAATAAGGGTCAGTTTTTCTTTAGCAAGCATATATACAAATATAGCATTCGATGCTGTTTTTGCAAGTTATGCCATTATTTTGCTTGAATCTGAATTCCTCATGGGCATCAGGCTTTCAGTTCAGACGTGTTCCAGTTCTGTGAAAAGCACTGCCTTTATCAGGAGACCTTTTCTGGTTTGTGGAAAGCAATTTTTTCCCCTTGGACCTGCTGCAATGAAGGACATTTCTGATGAATTTCTGTTTATCTAAAAGCTGCTTCTGACTAAGACTTTCAGGAAAAGAGTAACACAAGAGGAAGCACCTCTCCCTGCCTCACTCAATCCCCTATCCATATTTCACAACTGAACTCGAGAAATGAATTGCTGGACTGTTACCATGAATATCCTGTGTCATGCCACAAAAGTTGTGGGCATCCTGAGAAAGTCCTTATATATGATTTTAAAAAAACCAACTTATTTTTCCTAATCCTTTGCTAAACATGGAGTTAAGTTTTATACCTAAGAAGCCACTACTCTGCTTTACTCTCTTCCACCTCTATTTATTGCAGGAAAATGTAACAGATGAGCAAGAGAGCTGTCAGCTCTTTCCCAGAATCTTTCGAAGAGAAAAAGGACAACTTTCCTAATGCCAGTTATTCTGTAACACAAGATATGTCATAATTTTAACATTATGGGTTTTCTTCAGCTTTCGGTTTTTAGATTCTTGTGAAAGTAAATACCTTTGACTTACTAAGTTTTTTTAAAAAATAACCAAGTTTAAATAAATCCAAAGTAACACATTGTCTTCTGAAGTCATGAAGAGGAAAACAACAGGTTAAAAAAATGTGAAGGGAGATAACAAGTATTAGATTTCACTCCAATTCAGGACTTGGCAAACAGAAAAAACATGAAAGTGTTGAAAATATACCAAATATACCACAGCATCTTCAAAAAGAAAAAGAGATAATTAACTATAAGTAAATAAATAGTGATAGGAAGAGGGGCAATAAGGTAATAGCCAAAAAGACTCAGAAAAACCAAACCATTTGTCTTCAAATAACCTTGCTTCAAACAAGAGCATAGGGTTACAGAGTAGAAATATTTGGGGCATAGTCGGGCACTAAAACAGTTTTAAATAAATCTACTGATTTATCCCAGTAAGGGCTAATGTTCAGGTGAGCACAGGAAGACAAAGGTTTGCACACCCTCAACAGCAATACCTGTGTAATAGAGACTGGTTTTTGAGCTGAAGTGGATGTGACTTACCACTGTGCTTCATGGCTTTGGTAAATCAGCCTGTCAGTGCAGGAAGGTGTTCAAAATGCCTGCAGGGTATGTGTCATAATGAAATATATGATGATGGTTTAACGTGTTGGTTTTTTGTTTTAAAACCTTTTTCTTCTCAAATTTGTTTGCTGAGATAGGTGGCCAAGAGCTGGAGCCTCCAGCGTTCCTGCCAGAGCTTCTTAACACGCCTGAGAGAATCTTGAGTAAGAATGGTTTAAGCTTTACTTTCTGCATTCTGGCATGGCAGAGGGGAATCCCTCCTGCTCCAGAAGCATTGCAGGGAAGTGGGCTGTGAGCAAATAGCTGGGAGCTCATCTCAAAATGGTTTAACAACTGAAGCAAAACCAGGGGCAGTCTGGGGACAGTTATTGTCATTTACTTTTTTAAAAATAAGTGTGGGTTGTTTATTTTTTTCATTTAGACAATGCCACACTCTTCAACGGAGTCTTTCAAAATGTGGAAAGTGTTGCGTTATTTTTTGGTAAGTATGTGTTCCAGTTGTACTTGAGTACTGAACAAAAATCCCGTAGAGTTTGTTTTTATGTGTTTACTGAGAAGAAATGCTTTTTTTAAGCTGTAGATTTCCCCCAAGGCACTGTAATACTAAATACTGCTGAGTGCTAAGCACTGCTTAATGTCCCTGTGTTGCTGCCTTGTTCAGGCTCCATGTTCATGTGAATGACCCACTCCTGGCTCCCCTCCTTTACCATGTGTTTTATGACTGTTCCCTTTCCAGACTGCCTGGGTTCTCACTTCACCTGGTTACAGTCCATCTTCACCAACTTCCCTGCCCTTCTCAACTTTGTGAACAAGATGAAGTGTGTTACTGGGTTCTGCCCCAGGGATTTTGAAGACTATGGTTGCTCTTGCAGGTTTGAGATGGAAGGGCTCCCCGTGGATGAGGCTGATGAGTAAGTTGTATCCATGAGATGTGCTTTTCTACCCTGACTGGCTCTAAATGCCCTCATGCTCTGATTATTCAAAGCATAACATGTGTGTAAATGATTTAAAGACAGTTGTGGGGAAAAAAAAATTGATTTGGGGGTAAATAAGACCCACACCATCTGGCTCTGTTTAATTTAGTCATCACTCAATTGCCACCGGAATATCTGATAACGATCCATGGAAGGTAACTTCAAGTCTGGTGTATCAGCCCTTCCTGTGTTATTCCTGCCTACTGGTGAGCACTGTCTGCTTTGCTGGGCCAGCAGCCCCTGCCAGTTGCCTTACAGCACAGCTTGGAAACAGACCTTTGGGAATAAACCCTCGTTAATTCAGGGAATTCACTTGCACACATAAATCAGTGACCAAAACTGGAGGCCCTGTTAATAAGGAGAGTTGGGGAGCTCTAATCTGAGCAGTTTGGTGGGTTTGCAGTTTTACCAAACTGTTGGTATTGGGGGCTGTGTAATAAACCAGCAATCTAAGTTCACAGTGGACTCTAATAAAAATGTTGGCATCTGAGGGGGATTTAAGCATCATCAGAATCAGGTTACAGCTAAGTATGACTTTAGGTGGCATTAGGAGGTTAAGTAGATCTTGCCCTGAGTGCCTGTGTACATGACAAGGTTGTAAGACACGGGAGCATCAAGGCCAGAGCAATGTAGCTCAATGTTTCTTCCCAGTACCATGCACCAGGAATAGACCATCCAAATTCCACTCTGTGCTTTGGAGGGATATTGCCCCAGACCCTGACTGGGATAGTGAGAAAAAATGTAATCTTAGGCCAGGACAATCAGATGATTGTTCACTTATATCAGCAGTGGGTTTGAAAGGAAATTCAAGGAGAATCAAGATACATCCACGTCTTTGCAGAAAAAAGTTTTTCCAGCAATTTAATGTATTAATTCCCTGCATGAAGACAGCAATGGCTCAGAAAGGGCTGATGCCTATAGCTGGATGGAAATTAATCCATCCACTTTGCAGCACGGGATGGCTGGGAAAATGGAGAACTGACTCTGCTACTGGAAAACAGCCATGGAACTTCTCTATGAAAGGTTTTCTGAACAATTGTGATGACATCCTGAAATGAGAACCTGAGTCAGTTCTATGGGTTGATACCCAAAGAGCTGAGCACCTGGGCTTTTGCTTCACTCAGCTTTATTTTAATGTAGAGCAGCATAAAACCAGAAACTACAGAACCATCTGTCAGCAGGTTTGTCCTGAGAAACATCCAGAGAGTCAGTCTGTGTTTACAAATTGGTTTCCAGCCCCAGGGTGAGGTTTTCTTAGCAGCTCAGAAATCTCACTGCCCTGTGCAGCGAACAGGGCTGATTATTGCTTTGCCACTGACACAGATGTGCCCCTGGCTCAAAAGAGCCTCCAAACCAGTGGCTGTTAGGTGTTTGTCCCAGAGACAGTTCCCAATGTGTTGCAATTTTTTTCACTAATTTATTTCTTAAAAAACTAGTTTAGCAAACCTTGGGTTTGCCACTTCTGCTCCATAGGGAAAGGCTGAACACCTCACTGCAAGTTTTTAAGGCATTAGAAAGTGTCTTAGTGCCTATAAAACCAACCTTTTCCCATTTCCCAGAATAGTTAATTGTCATATCTAAATTAGAAGCCTAGTCTACCTCCATAGTCCATATGAAAGAGAAGCATGCCCAAGGGACAATCCATGCCTTACAATCTCCTGCTTGCAAAGGCAAAGCAAGTAAATTTTCGGATTAACTACTGCAGTAAGTGTTGATGTAATTGCGATGCTCCAACCAAACAAGAACTGCAGGGAGTTTGCATTAGACTAATTATGCAGCTAGAGGAGCTTTCAGATGCTAACACCTCACTAGACCTCAGGCAGAGACAGGAGTGTTTTGAGACGTGTCATCAGCTGGATCCTTAAAACCCTGTTGCTGATGGAGCTCACAGACTTCAGCCTCATCTCTGAAACAAGGCACGGCAGAATCTGTGGTGCAGAGGAGCCATCAGGGCCTCTCTGCTGAATGCTATTTCATTTGTTAGGGATGTTACTTGGACTCCCCTGGTTGTGAGGACAAATTAAATATTGTAATCATGGTTTATTAATATAGTAAGTGGTTAAATATTAAATGCTCTCCAATTATAGGAAGTGAGAAAGTGCACTTGTAGCCTAGAAGGGAGCCTGGCAAGGGGCAGGTGTTTGCTCTGTGCTGTAATCACTGCAGGACTGTTTTGTCCACCGATGCCTCAGGGCTGTGGGTGATGTGTAATAACACATTCACTTTGCCTTTAACAAAAATACCACATGAGCTTAACTAAATGTAACTCCTTAGTCTGTGATCACAAGTTCACCCTTCCTGGCATCAGCTGCTGGATGTGGGTGTTGATGTTGTCTTTGCATTTGGCATGGTCCAGGCCAATGGCAATTCAATAACAGACCCATGTCCTGAGTCCATTTCTCTGAAATATTTCAGTCTAGATCTAACAGCAAACCCCTGTTTAATCTGTGTAAAAATTTTACATGGAGTATATGGTGACTTGAGTTTTTTATTATTGTTTCATTTACGGGTGATGTCAGAGTACACAGATGCTGCTATTATATGAAAGCAGATGATTTATCTGTACAAACAGCAGAAGAGAGGAGAGGATTGATGAAGACCTTGTTGTTTTTTAGTTGAATTTTCATTGCTATTCACAGCTAAAGTGGCCATACAGGCATTTGAGGTTTGCAGGACAGCACTTGTGTAGCAAAACACAAGGTTTCTGACTGCCTGTGTTGTGTGGTGGTAGGAGAAATCTGCTTCACTCCAGTGTGAGACAATTATTTTGTGTCCCTTTCCCATGGATAAATGGTGCATTTTAATTCTTATTGTTGAATAGAAGCAAAAGAAATAGAGGATGACACTATCTGTATTTATGCAGTCCCAGTAAGACACTGGGTTCTGAAAGGCATTGCCAAGCCATTAACCCTCCATGAGTGCCAGGTCCAGTGCAGTTCTCCGAATCTGCAGTGGGAAAGTTTGGGACAGGACTGGATCTAAGACCTCTAGAGTTGAGCCATGGGACAATGTTTGTCAGCGAGGTGTCAGTGTTGAGGGGAGGTATTTGGGCACTGATAGTGGATTTCGTATTTAAACTGCCTGTATAGTCCTTGTACTTGTGGTACTCAGGTACCACAGCAGGACAGAAATGTGTGATCACACACGACTCGCAGACCTGCTCCCACAGCTCTGCATCCAGATATATTTATCCGACTACTCTCACTCAGGGAAAAGCAGTACTCAGCCTTTCTTTTGTCTAGGGATCCCACCATGGACCCCCTTTTCTCCTTTGGCACCTTTTGCATTGTTGTGTAAGGGCAACGTGGCAGCGTTACAGTCTGACCTCAAACTGAAATTTAGTTGTGAGAACTCTCTGTTATTTCATTCTTTTAAGATGCTGCTTCCAGCACCGCAAATGCTACGAGGAAGCACTGGAGATGGAGTGCACGTGGGACCCATCAAAGATTTCTACAGATGTCAGCTGCTCTACTGAAAACCTGACCTGTGGTGAGATTAACCTGTCACAAGAGCTAACACTGGAGCCTCACCATGACCAGAAGTGCGTTCTGGTCTATCTACCAAAAAGTCATAGACAAATCAAGCAGAAACCACCAGGGCTTGCCAGGGGTCCTGTAACAAGCAGCCTCTCCCTGAGGTTTCCCTGACTTTTCAGGACCACTAAACACTGCTTGAGATGTCTCCACACATCAGAAATGCAGCAGATGCTGAGTAGAGACCTGAAAAACAATTCTTTTGAGGCATCGAGGTCTGATTTTTATAAACGAACCAGAGAGGCAATAATCCAGCCATGCCAGACTTCACTGGTTTGTGTTTCAAAACCAGTGTTGGACTATGAAACTTGGCTGTGTTTAGCATGGAGAAGCTCAGTATAAATAGGTTTGCACTAATGAATACAGGCACAAACCTTACAGGCAGGAAAAGGCAGGTGGAAAAGGTTTTTCAATAGTGCCTTGTTTGGATCTTTGTTTTATTTCCAGAGTCTGGGGATCCCTGTGAACAGTTCCTCTGCACCTGTGACAAAGATGCCATTGAATGCCTTGTGAATGCACATATTAACTCTTCCCTGAATGGGCTGGATGTTTCCTTCTGTCCATCTCCAGTTACAGGTAATAATAAGGATCTGATCCACTGCCTCCTCCTGCCAGTTTGTCTGCCAGTATCGAATCTGACCCAAGGAGAATGAAGCAGTAGCTGGGTGCTTTCCTGCCACAATCCTGGCAGTCTGTCCTGTTCTCAGTTTCATGTGTCCTGCCCATTTACTGCTACTCGAGTGAATACCAGGAGAGGAGAAGGCAGCAGACTAATTGCTGTCCTGGAGCAGGTCCAGGAGAGGTTACTGAGATGGGGAGGGGGCTGAAGCCCATGATGAAAGAGGAGGAGACTCGGGGGAGATCTTTTTGCTGTCCTCAGTACTTAGTGGGGTGTGGAGAGAAAGAAGATGGAGCCAGACTCTTCCTGGAGGTGCACAGGGGCAGGACAAGAGGCAAGAGACACAACTACAGCAGGAAAATCCAGTTAGGTATGAAGAAGTTTTTTTGTCAGGAAGGTCCTGTCAGCCTTGTGAGGCTTTTTCCAGCTGGAAGGAATGAGTGATACTTGTGATGAGGTCACTAACAGGAATGCTAAAGGTATTGCTAGCCCAAATCTTCCCTTGAACCATGCAAAAACTAACTGGAAAAGCGAAAAACAGTCTGGTGAGTTACTTGGTTTCCATTTTGGAAGGAAAAATCCCTGCTAAAGATGAAGGGAATGTTTATGTCCATTGTCAAACACTGATTCCAGCTCTCTAGATGAAATTACAGCCTTGCGAGACCAAACACCTGTCCTGTGGGAGCAGGGCGGGGTTAAAAACTTCGTTCATATGGATTGCAATTGGAGCATGGCAGGGGGAGGACCTCTGGACTCCTAAACTGGGGGAGATGTGAAAAGGCAACGTTAGCTTTTCTAATCCTTTGGCTCGTAGTCACAGACCTCATTGCTGAGATCAGGCATATACCTCTGTATCGTGCTCTGGATGTGTGTACCCCCTCCTGAATAGGTCAAGGGAGAAGAAAATGCCCCAGGCAAGTTTGCATGGAAGCCAGGTTATTTTTTTGGGTTTTTTGGTTTTGTTTTTGGTTTTGTGGGTTTTTTTTGTGTTTTTTGTGGTTTTGCTTTTGGTGTTTTTTTTTTTAAGACAGTAATCTTTCACTGGGATCAGATGGCCCTAATATACAGTATGGTAGTTCCAACACACTACAGATAAAGGGGAAATTGTTAGGTGCTAACAGGAAAATCATGCTGGTTTTACCACTGCTGATAAAGATGGATTCATTTTTAGCTCACTGGATACCTCCACTGATTTTAGGTCCCCGACTATATTTCTTAATAAAAAAAAAAAAAAAGCGCCTTTGAATGAAACATTTTTATTTAGTGTTCACTCACGTTATTATCCTTCTGTGCAGCTGTTCTGCTCAGTTCAGATTTTGGGGGAAAAAATAATCCTATCTGATAAAATTCCAGGAAAAGGATTTTGTTAGATTCTTTATTACAGTGAAAAATTAGTGAAATGGGCATGTGTCTGACTAAACTTTGTTTTAATAGGAATACATTCAATAAATGCCTGATTTGGACTATTCAGATCAAACAGTGACAAATCCCCTCTGCACACTTAATGACAGACCTTTCTCTTTTTCAGAAACAATCAGCAAGAGAGAGCAGACAACACGTCATACAGAGGGTAGGTCATCTCTGTAATTCTTTGTCTGGAACATATTAAATTGAGACCAATTTATACTCAGAAAAATAAGCTGCTGAAACAGGAATTTAAAGAATGGTGATTGCTAACCAATTCCTCGTTTTTTTTATGTTGAAACTCTTTAACATTATTTTTTATTATTATACTCTATGTTGCTGAGTAGATTTTAGTATCAGCATGGTAAAAGTACTAAATTAGAAGTGCCAAGATCCAGTCTAAGGAGCATCCTAAGTCACAAGTCTGTGGAGTAAGAATCCATTTCTTTTTGCAGAGCTCCTTCATCGTGGGACTGATGGAACACGGGCAGTGACTGCCTCTGTGGAAGAAGGTTTGCAACTTAGAGTGCAAGAAGCTCTGTTTTCAGCTCCCAAAAGCTGAAAGAATACAAGTTGTTAGTTTTCTTTCTGGCCTTCTGAAAGGACTGATGTAGAAGCAGATATAACGTTTTGGTGATTGAATTTAGGACTGGATTGGGAAAGGTGCAATTTTTCAATTTGTGCATGTAATGTGTTTACCCAGTGTTTACAGTAAGTTTCCCAAGGGCTGAGAATGAGCACTCTACAACAAAATCTGTTTTCATCAAAACAGCCTTCTTTTTTCCCCTGGGAACACAGGCTGGAGCAGGTGAGCTGTTGGCAGAGATGTGCTGTGTGGGTGCCAGCCACTGGACCCACAGCCAGGTGCTTATTTCTTGTCTCTAAAGAGATGTTTAATTCCACAAGATCAAGCAGGAGAGTGAGGAAAGACTGAGCATGGTTTGTGGCAATGAGGCAGCAGTTTGGTGGTTTATTTTCTTGTAATGCAGAGACCCAGGCTGAAATCTTCTCACTCTGGTGCCTTCTGGGTGAGTCCCTAAACCATGAGACCAAGTGGTTCTTATGACAGTCTTAATTTTTTTTTCTGCTACAATCAATAGTTGTCTTACTGAGGAGTAAATGCTTGCAAAAACTCAACCACTGGGTGGGTGCAACCAAGCCACTGCTTAACTCAGAAAATCCTGAAATGGGTTGGGTTGGAAGGGACCTTGAAGATCATCTGGTTCCAGCACCCCTGCTGTGGGCAGGGACACCTTCCATTAGACTTGGTTGCCCAGGGAGAGGTGGAAAGTCGCATTTTTTTAGAACTTCAGAACCTGGTTTCAGGGTGTAGTGTGCTTCTCTCTGTGAGCCATTGCCCTAAGTGTTAATCTGGAATAAAGAAAACCATACAGAATCTTATTGGTTTTTTTTTTTAAGAAACAACACTTCTGACTTTTAAAGTCAGAAACAGCACATGCATGAGTGTATGTACTTGAAGAGGCTGAGTGTAAGTGCTGGCTGTTCCTTCATATCTCTTCTGTATTACCAGAGGAATTTTTTTTTACCAGATATTTCTCATTTTCACCTAGCAACAGCTCCAGTGTTGGGCCATGTTTTCTGGCTGCTTCTAGAAAGCTTGGTAGTAGAAAACTGAGAACTCCTGAAGGAGGAGAGCACCTGTATTTGCACATCTGTAGCAATCTTTCACCTCCTGAAAAACAATTGCTTGTGCTCTCTAAAGAGGCATAAGTCCAACACAGAGCTCAAAATATTACTAAGGGATAAAAACCTGTACTAGGAATTTTAGAAAGCTGAAAATGTAACACAGATAACATACCTAGTCAGATTTTGAAGGAAACATTTGGAGAACCACCTATCATTTAATTCTGATTATTCAAGCCCAAAGGACCTTCAACTTTGTCAGCTGTGGAAGCCGCATTAAACCAGAGCTAAGTATCACTCAGAAACTCATTCAAAGGCAAAGGCATTCTTCTTCACATCTCACAGCCCTGACAACACACAAAAAGAGGCAGAGATGATTTTTTGGATCATTTGATAGCCATGCTTCTAATTTATCAAAAGGTAGCTGACAAATGAAATTTATTTTATGAGATAAAGAAATAAATTAGAGGTTAGGGAGTTACATGGCCTTATAGCTGCCCACCCATACCTGACACAAGGTGTTCACAAGGAATGTTGCATCTTTCTGTGCACAACAGTGGGATTTCAGACCTAATCCTGTTTAGTCCATTTGTAAAATGAATTTCCCACATCAGTCATATCTATGTTCCTTCTTTCATAGAAACATAGTATCCTGTGTTAGTGGAAAGTGCATTATTTGCATGCAGCAATGAGATTATTTTATCAGTATCACTTTGCCTACAACAATCAATACACCACTGAGAAAAATAGGCAAATCTCACTCCATGACATGCCTAGGTCTTCCTGTTTTCAGAAAAATCTCTTCTCAGCAACTATCCATAAGAGTCTGTGCTGGCCACTTGTATTCTGAGATTACATTTTCTGTCTTCAACAGTGATTTCTTTTGAGCCCAGTGAAATGATCTTGGTGACTCCCAAAGCCAGAGGTAAGAGTCTGATTAAACTTTTATTGGAAAAATTTGGCAGTCTTGACTCCAGGTGAAGATGGATTTTTCATTTATGAAGCTCTGTGGTGCCACAGTCTAAAATCTGAAGCACGGGATTTCTGGATAATACCTCTACTACTTCTGCTGACTGGCACATCCCTCAGCAAACTACTTCCTTTCTCCTAATTACCCTCTTTATAAAATCAGGCTAATAGTGATGTTTCATTAAGCTTTATAATGCTTTTGGTAATAGTCACTCCAGAAATGCACATCAGAGATGCAGCAGGTAGGTGACTACCATGATGCCTCTGTTTTTTGTACAGTAACTACAAGAGACCACAGAGGAACAGCTCCTGCTCCTCCCACCCTGTCGATGAAAGGTCAGTGACCCTCAGCTTTCCTCTTTCTTTGACTGACACAGCAATTCTTTCTCTAAAAGCATTACAGTTAAAACCCTGTGCATGGTGACAACAGAGAATCAAATTTAGATCAGGGTCAGATAGCAGATACACAAACAATAAAACCAGACTGAGAAGCATTAGCTGTTTCTCGCCTCCAGCCACTCATTTGCACTCCTCACCCAAGTATTTCTGAAAACCTCTTCACATGAGCTTTTCAGATATAATGGTTGGTGCTGTAAATTACATTCATAGCATCTGCTGCCAGAAGGGCTCACTTTGATTTTGCCTCCTCCTTTATTATAGATAATTTCATCAAATTCTTTACCACTCTAAGACCTGTTTCAGCTTTCACAGGTGTTTGTGCTTCGAGCACGGCCATATCAGTAGGTACAGCTAAAAATGGAGCATCTTGGTAGTTTGGGAACTTTTCTGTGGCTCTCTTTGTGTAGGAAGGATTATCCAGGCAGGATGAAATCCACCAGAAAAATGTAAAGGAACTTTGCATATGGGGAGTAGAAAATAGTAATTTTTTGACTCTGATTACACTGAGCAGTATCCTGTCTCCCATCTCAGTGCAGAAATTTGGCATTACTGTACTAAACACTGGTCAAAATCACTAAATGTTCCCCCTGTTAACTTGAATGTTAATCAGAAAATCTGTGTATTGTGTTCCAGGCCTGCACAGCTTCCACGAGATTATTTGTAATATTTATTCTTTGTGCAGAACTTCCCAAACTCTGGTTTTATTTTCTATATCTAGCAAGAATTGCTTTCATTTCAACACATCACTGCCACAGTGGTATAAGATGTGCATGTTGCTGAGCCATCAAAACTACTGTGAGACTGTTGATCCCTTTCTGCCACCTTTCATGGGCTTTGTTGTGTTCTTAGCAGTACTTTCTTTTAATCTGTTCTCTTATCCTATGACAGGTTATTTTCAAAACATACTAAAACCAGAACGTCAGAGAGACAAGGTTAATGAATTTGGGTTTAGTCCAATTAAAAATTTCAGCCAAGGAATTCAGAAGAAAAGATCTTAAAATACCGAAACTCAGGCTCACTAGTATTTCAAAGCATTTAGTTTGTGAAATGCCACATTCTTCATACTGACATTTAGAAAAAATGAAACATTTGATAACAATGCTTCCTTTTACAAGCTAGCTTATATAAAAAAAAGGTTTAAAAAGAAAGAAAAAAGGATATTAAGTATCCACAAATTTAACAAAACATTCTTGCTCAACAATAAATATATACCAATTTAAACTAATGTCCTGAAAATAATGTATTGATATGTCAAATTATTTTTCCCCTGATATTTTCTTGTGTTTACAACCCAGTAAACCCTTCAGTCACCCAGCTCTGCATCAGTCAAATAATTTCCTGCTTTGACTAATGTTGTTCCCAATTTTGGAACCTTCAGGTAAATAGTCACCTTTTTTAAATCAATTTACTCAGAAAATGACATCTCATGACATCTCACCTGTGCTTTATCTCTCATTACAGCTGACTAAGAAGCAACCAATGTGGTTTTCAGCAACTGGCACAGCTCTTTTTCTCAGTACACATAAACAGAATTTAAAAAAAAAGAAATCAGTAGTTAAACTGATCATAGTTAACCACAGTACTTTCTTCTGAAAGGAAAGGGATGTGAAGAAATGACCAGTGTGGATACTCTTTGCTTTTCCAATTTTCCTCTTGAATGTCTTTTCTCTATGGCCATCAATTCCCACTGGTTCTGCCTGAGGGTATTACTCTGACCAGCTATCTAAAATTAAAATCTCACTGTTTATTTTCCATGTCTTCTTCTGCTTTACTGTTTCTGCTTACTCAGAAGAAGATGGATTTATGGCAGCTGTGGTCCCAGTGGAAGAGATAACCACCTCCCCAGCCTCATTCCCAGGAGATATTTACTCAGTGCAAGTCAAAATTGTCCCCACTGAGACTTCCACGGGCACATCTGCAAGGACAAAAGAGAAAGGCAAGTAAAAAATGAATTACACCTAATTTATAGCACTCCCCTATTCCTGTTCACAGCTGTCTGAGGAGTGCACAACACTGACTGCCCTGGAAAGGGTAGCTCACTGCCAGCTGACAAGGAAAGCTTAACTAACATTTAATGAACAGCCTCCAACTATGAATTGAAAATTTTAGTTGATTATGCTTCAGAATATGCACCCTTGGACACATCACTGAAAGAAGAATTTATTCAACCTTCACAAATCTGATCTATGCATCTGTCTTCTCCAGAGACAAGTCCTGCAAGGGGTGCCCCAACCATGGCTTCCTCTGCAATAGCTCTGGAACTGGGACTGTCTGACAGGGGACCCGATGAACCTGCAGGAAAAGGTAAATAAGGGGTTATTTCCCCATTATAGCTGGTAAAATATTCAGCTACCTCTATATTAAAAGTAGGTATATATTACATACAGAGATTATAGTTACTTTAAACCATAGATAAGCACAGATGTATTGGTATTTATAAGAAGAGGAGGTGCAGACATCTGCAAAACTTTCCATCAGTATAACCTCTCCTGCCAATGTGCTATCACTCACACTTAAAGAACCTACTTATTATTAGGTTATAAGAACATTTTTTCATACAGTGCAAAATCTAAAATGAGCTCAGTGAATGTTCCCACTTGCTTTTGCTTGTAGGCAGTAATTTAATGACATTTTTAAGTTACTTTGTTTTACAGCAGAAGTAATATTAGGAACTTCCTAACTCCTCGTTCTGACCTTTTGCAAAAGTCTTGCCAGAGTCAGACTTCTTCTCACCATTTCTGATTCTGTACCCATTCCTGCTCAGAGATCCCAGAAATCCCAAGACATTTCGAGGCCTGACACTGCTGGAAATTCACGCTCATGGACTGTCCCATCCATCTTGTTTGCCTTTCTAATGGAGAGAAGCAGCCCCAGAACTGAAAAGAGCAGACATGAAGAATCAAACCAACCTGCCACCAAAGTGGAAAATTTGATTGTAAAGCATCAGCTGTTAGAGAGCACATGTCAATGCATGAACCTTGTGGTTCATCCTCAGTGAATTAACATGAGAGAGTGAAGACTCAAGCAGGCACGTAGGCAGAATTTCCTTTTGGAGGCAGTAATCCAGGGTTGTCCCTGGAAGAAGCAGGGAGTCAGTCTAGAGCTTCAGAAGGGGAGATGGGATTACTCAAGGGATCAGGGAGGATGCAGAGGGAACACAAGCCCTCCATCTCTTTCCTGCAATCCAACCAATCAGTCCCTTCAAGTCCTTTCCCTGGCAACATCCCAAAAGAGGCCCCCTTGACATCTTTTTGCTGATATGGAATACTGTTTTCTCTCAAATCTTAGGAATAATTCCCACAATATCTGTTCTTCCTGAATAGGGGGAGCCACAGAGACATTAGGATTGGGACATGGTGATGCCCAAACCTCGGCACCACAGCAGCCACTACAACAGATCATTCCTTCACCTGGACCAGGGGGATTATAGATTGAATTGAACTATATTTCAAATTAAACCAAAAAAGATATTGTTTCCTCCAGCACAACATGGTCATTGCCCAGCTATCACTGTGCAAGTACAAGAAGTTAGGGCTGTATTTGCTGAATTAGCTGAGATAGAAGCCACTGAATAAATTTTTCAGAAGAAAAATTTAGCTATGAAGGATTACAAAGGACTGCAAAGCATTCTCATTGCAATCCAATTTGATTTGTAATTTTATTTTCAGAGGAAGTCTCTCTCCCCTTGAAGTATTTCCCTGTCCTTCTGCTGTCTTGCTCAGCAGAATTCTAAGAGCCATAACTTACAGACTGAAGCAATAACTTACAGATTATGAAGTGTTGTCTTTCAAAGTTTCTGATAGCTCTGAAAACACTTCTGTCATCACAAGGGAGCCCCCAGCCAGTGAAAACATGATGTGTCAAATAACGACTTTGCTTTACAGCGTGTGAGCGATTAACCTTCCTGCAAGAGAGAGGAAGTGGAAGAGCGAAGAGGGAGCTGCCCCAGCTTGGAGAAATGCTGTTCTGCTTAACTGAGCGGTGCCCAGAGGAGTTTGAGTCTTATGGTTGCTACTGTGGCCAAGAGGGAAGGGGCCATCCCACCGATGCACTGGACAGGTGTGGGCTCTTCTGTGGTTGCCACTAACTGTGGGGATTATTGGGGTGCCCATGGACCAAGAAAGATCAGTGCATCTTTTGTTGGGCATTGCACAGCTATGTATCAGTAGTCAGGTCACATTTTGGGGAAAAAAAAGTCCACTTAAATAAGTAACACATGAAATACTCTAATGTCATTAAGACTCATTCTACTGTTGCGTCAGTGTTTTGGAGAGGACTTAGTAACTCAATTAAAATAATTAAAATAAGAAAGGAGGTAAGCAGAGCAGAAGGAAGGGTATATTAAAAGGGATGAGGACAATTGAAACTTGGCTAAGAGGTGGTTTGGAAAGTGATTTATGAAGAGAAGAATTAACATCCCCCCACACTGCACTGTCCTTCAGAAGAGAGAAGAGATGGAGCAAAGTCCTCCTGAAGTTGCAGCCCAGAGCCCTTCCATAGCTGTCATGGCATGGCTGTCAATGAGGAATAATGCAGAGAATTCAATCAAAGTAAAGAAGTTTCCTCTGAGAGTGTTGGATTTACAACCAAAAATCTCTCCCTGTGTGGAAGTTCATGATAGTTGGGGCACATCAGGTCTAAATACAGCACCTGGTTTACAGCACACACCTTTTTCCTACACTTGCACACAAATACAACTGCCCATTCATGAAAAAAATAGACCAGATGAAGGCTGGTGATCTGGCCATCATGATGCAGCTTTCATATTTTCAGCCAAGATTGGAATACTTGAAGACACTTCTCATGGCAGATTAGGTCATGGTCACAATTGTAATTATGTGCCTTAAAATACCACCCCCCCCCCCAAAACAACAGCATTGTTAAACACATGACACCAAAGGAATTAGGAAGGAGGAAGAAAAAGTAGGAGCAAGTATAGGAGGTAAGTAGGAACAGTTTTTGTTTTCTTCTTTATAGAAAAAAAATTCCATGGTATGAAATTTTCTAAAATTTCTTACTTTTAATGGGCATTGAAAATAAAGACATACAAATAATTGAGAGCACTCTGGGATGCAGGAAGACTTAAGTATTTTGCATTTACATCTACTGTTTATTTTAGATGCTGCTTCTCTCATCACTGTTGTATGGAACAAGTTAAGAAACTGGGATGTCATGCAGAAAGAAGTTCGAGATCTGAAGTTTTATGTATTGATCATATGCCAAAATGTAAGTTTGTGTTAGAGGAAATTCTCATGTCCTGACAGTGTATCAGCATGACTGTATTCAGCATGACAGACTGAATGCCACCATGACTGAGAGCTGCTAGGGCTGAGTATGGAGACACAAATATTTAGGTTACAAAAAGTTAATGACGTTTACTTTAAACTAGAGCTTTATTCCCAGTTGAAACAAAGGTTATTCTGCCACTGTGCGTGATGTGACCTGGTCAGGTTGAGAAAATTACGTTCAGACATTTTGTAATTGCAGACAGGAGTCAGCTCTTTGTGCCTTTACATTCATAAATTCAATTAAAGCCAGTCAGGCCTTCCGCTGCCTAGCACCTCTGTGTCAGGCTTGTAGTTAGATGGCTGAAGGTGAATTTGGAGACTAAAATTTGAGGAAGATTTGAAAATTTCATCACACTTTGACTAATTCTAACTGCTTTCAAACATTAATTCCTCAACTCTTCTTTTTAAGGCGTTGGCTGGAGCATATGTGAGAAACTCCTCTGTGCCTGCGACACGGCGGCAGCCGAGTGCATGGGCTCTGCCTTCTTCAACGAGAGCCTGAAGCTCCCACATGGGCAGCAGTGCCGAGAGGAGAAACCCTCCTGTCAAAGTGACCCTTATGAAAAGCCCCCAGGAGGCACAGGAACAGGCACAGGCGTTTCCAGCTCCGAGGAGAGCAGTGAAGAGGAAGGTCCACTGAGGAGGCAGTCAAGAAGGGCAAAGAGGGGGACACGCCGTTCCGTTGGGAACTCCAGAACTGTGGGACGTGGAGGCAGATAACCGGCCACCTTCATGGGCTTGGGAAGCAGCACGGAGCCTTTTGCAGTCAGCCACCATGTACCTTACTCCTCCTTAGGCTGCCTTACACAGCACACAGATGATGTAACCATAGACTAGGTATTAGAATTAGGCTGTATTAACTCATTACTGTAGGGAGGTCATCACTGTGGACCATCTACCTAGGCCAGATACTACATGAAATAATTATTTGACAGTATTCTGTATAATTTCACTTGATTTCTACGTAAAAAATGTTCTAATCACAGACTGATTTTTGTTAACTGTGTGCTTGGTTCAGGCTGGATCTTGCTGTATTCAGGTTTTTAATTAAACCAATCTGCAACTACTGCAACTCCTTTTGCAGACATTCTTCCTTTACTGAGCTTAGCAGGAAACACACAGAAGGAAAGCTGAAGTAGCTACATGAAAATGAGCTCCTTTTCCCATTCCTATCTACAGCTGTGTGTGACTCACTTCTGAGGGGAATAGGAGGTCCAAAATGCTGGACAGACCCTTCTCTTAGGGAAGTCTTTTGCCTCCCTGGGGCCCAGGTTAAGGATATCACTAGGAAACTTCCCAGCTTGGTACGGCCCTTGGACCTTTACTCATTACTGTTCTTCCATGTGGGGGGCGATGAAGTCACGACGTGTAATCCAAGGGTGATCAAGAGACTTGAGCACCTTGGAATGGTTGGTCAGGGAATGTGGAGCACAGGTCACTTTTAGCCCTATCCTTCCAGAAACAGACACAGTCTATTAATATCTGTCTCCATGGCTGGTGTCACTGCGACAATTATGGGGTTTTTTTGGTAACAGCTCCAGGCCTGCTGGTGTCAGATGGGATTCACCTTTCTCACAGGGGAAAGAAGGTCTTTGCTCATGAGCTATCAGGGCTGACAAGCTTTAAAACAGACTTGAAGGAAGAGAGGGGTAATATCAGGCTGTGACAAGGCTTTAGAGGTCCCTTCCAACCCAACCCATTCTATGACTTACTAACATTTCTTAGAGCAAAAATTTTGCTACAAACTTCACAGGGATTCAGCTGCTCTGAAAGGTCTGGATTTCTTTTCTATCAGCTCGTTCTACAGGGCTGAACTTTGTCCCCAAAGTTTTCGTTACAGACCAATGACTGTATCCTCATGCTGCGTTTTTTCAGACCACGCAGCAGTTACCTAAACCCCAGCATTTGATCTGTGCAGGCTCAATGGTGCAAGAACTGCAGGTGAAAACTCCAGTGAATGTTCCTGGATGAGCAGTTTATGTGGTATAAACCTCTGGCTGGTGCTATTCCTCTCTCAGTATTTTTCCTACCTTCAAAGTGCAAAGGATTAGTGCAGTGCAAAAAATCCCCAAAAAAACCAAAACACAAAAGCAAAAAAGAACACCACACACACTCCCAAAACACCCCCAAAGGTGTTTAGTCACGTGAATCCCAGTGGCTACACCACCAGCACTAGTGAAAAAACACAACAGAATAAAAAGATATTTTTTAAGGGAAGGCAGACGAGATTTTAATTAAGTTCCCCCTTATGCTGTAAAGAAAGAGGACATCTCAGTACTGAAGCAAAACGATACAGCTGCAAAATGCCCATTTTTGCCCTACGCTGAGGATGAGATCTGCATTACACTGGAACTTTCATCAGCCTTTTATTGTAGGGATGAAAAGTTATTTTATGTTTTACAGCATTTATAAATAAAGATGGCAATGAAAAAGTGAGATAATGAGCTGAAATGGGAAAAACTGGCCTTTAAACAAGTGAAGTGCACTGCTGAGCAATTATGTCACCAGCTCATTTCTCTGATGAGAGCAGTGCTGCTGCTCTGAACACTGCATCTTAAAATAAAAACCCATTCCTTTCTGCTAATTATTAGAAACCAGGATTACCTTCATGGTTATACAAATAACACATGCACATACTCACTCAACAATGCTGAATTTTCTGATTGCAGAGATAGGGATGGATCATTTGAATCGATCACGGAGAAATTACAATATAAATAGGCTGTTATTCAGGCAAGGTTGTCATTGATTCCTTTGAGCTTTATTTTCCAGTATCTCTTACTTCAGGTAGAATTTAACACCCAAGTTGTGCTGTAATTACAGCACTACTGTAATTAACTGTAATTAACTACCCTATGAGTTGTGTTGATAAAGAGAAGTCTTAAATAATCTAGCTACAATTGGCTATATTTATTTATTTATTCTGAGAGATCAGTGCTAAAATAATAGAAAACATGTCAAGCAGGTCAAGAAGAGACATTGAGCATAGCTTTCTTCTTTCTCCTCTCATTCTCACAGTCACTTTACATCATATTTTTCACAGATTTTGGGCACAGCTGGCTGAAACCTAGCTGAGGATGCACTCACATCTCTCTGTCCATGTCACTGACAAAGAGGTTAAGAAATGTCAGTCCCGATACCAACACCTGAGGATGCCACTCGTCACTGGTCTCCACCTGGACATTGAGTCGTGAATGCAACCATCCAGGCAATTCCTTATCCAACAAAGTGGGTCATCAGTCAAATCCATGTCTCTGCAGTTTAGAGACAAGGGTGTCATGGGACAGTGCTAAAGGCTTTGCACAAGTCCAGGTAGAGAAGGTCTGTTGCTCAATTAACACAATCATTTAGGTTGGAAAAGACTTCCAAGATCATCGAGTCCAACCTGTGGCCAACCAACACCTTGTCAACCAGACCAGAGCACTGAGTACCACGTCTAGTCGTTTCTTGGACACCTCCAGGGGTGGTGACTCCACCGCTTCCCTGGGCAGCCCGTTCCAAAATGTGGGACACCTGCTGAAGGAGGTGGGTGGCTTAGGAGAGCAGACACACACAGCTGAGGCACTCAAAGGGACCTCTGAGGTGACACAGCTTCTGCTCAAAACAGGGTCAGTTAAGAGGCCACACCTGGTACCTCAGGGCTGCATCCAGTTGGGTTTTGAAAACCTCCCAGCACAGAGACTGAACAACCTTTGCTGTGCCTTCCCATCAGCAAGGTCTGCCAGACTCTGTGTAGGGACAAGGCTCAAGGAGGAGCAGGAAGAGCAGCAGGTAAGCTCTGAGTCACCAACCACTTCGGAGGACTTTGGGTTCCTTCCAGCCTGATTTATTTTATGACCGTAACCCCAAAACAAGGTGTAGAAAACTCACACAATTGTATTAAGTGACTAGAATTGATACTAAAAACCCAACCCTAAAAGGTTTTTCAGCGAGGCAGGCCTGAAAAGCAGAGTTTATTTATCTTCTTGAAGCTTATTTGCTATTAGGAAATTATTTTTCTATCATTGAAGTCTCAAATGCTCGTGGTCTTAGTAACAGCGATGGTTTAATAGTAAATAAATACAGTATTTTAATAATGCTGCAGTGCTGTAACATTTGCAAAACCAAGTAAAATGGTGTGTAAAATGAGCTCTACTTTAAATGCTAAAAAAGTCATGTCATTTACATCTTAACTGTGAGCAGTAAAAATAAACTGACACACCTTAGAATAGATTAATTTGAAATTTTGGTTTATTTTATTGCTTAAATATAGATTGCACAGTGTGTTCTTACATTTATTGAAACTGGTTCATTACATACAGTACAGAATATATGACCATCAGAACAACAGACAAATTAGCCCTACTCTGATTTTGGATAACAGGCTATTTTTACCTTTTGAAATTACCACAGATTTAATTTACCTTAAAGTGACCCACTACAAAAGCTATATTTTTTTTCAAAATGACATAATGGTAAAGAGAACCCAAAGCAACAGCTGGAATACACTTAAACAGCTGGGTACCACTTTATAACCATTATGACAGTGCTCAAAGTGTTGCAGATAAAACAGGACCAGTTTGCATAAGGAGCTTTTAAAGTTCTGCAACTTGTCTGAAGAACATAAAGAGAGAAGTGAAACGCAGCAGCTTCATACTGTACAACAAACAGCATTCTTAATTCTTTTGGTTTCATTCATTAGCTACATATACCAATAGCTACCAAACCAATACATTTTACAGTCTCACCCATATCCCATATGTCTAGAAAGGCCAAAGTGAACCAACTACCAACTTAGAGACTCCCTGAATTTCCAGAAAGGAAGAAATTAAATATCACGTGAACACGCAGGGTGTTACAAGCTCTTCATTCCCTGCACAACACCTGCACAACACCTGCATTTGCCAAACAAAGCTCATTTCAACACTGGAAACATGAAAACCTACCATCAGCATCACTGAAAAATACTTCATAAAAAGAACAGAAAATGAAATGCTGAATCTAGTTATTTTCACATGCAGCATTCATGCAACAGAATCCAATCACAGAAACAATCCTGTATTTACAGCACAGTCTTCATACTGCACAAGTGCAAACTGAAGTACATTCTTTATTTCTTAGACTCCTTATTTTCTTTTTGTACAAAAGTGCAGAGTGATATTCTTAAAAAATGACAGCGTGGAGAAGTGTTTTACACTGTATCCCTAGGTTAGATTTACTGTTTAAAAAAATTACACTCTTTATATAGACCAAAAAGCTATTAGTCTTACCTTAAAAAAAACCAAACAAAAACCAAAAAACCAACAACAAAAAAAGGTGAAAACTAAAGGCTAGAGTCCTATTTATGTGTAGACTGTGGTCTGATCAGGCTGATACGCTGCAGCAGTAAAAATCGCAACGGAATGCTGTAGATAAGGGGCTGTTTCGTCATCCACTAACAGCTGTGATTGCACTGTTAAACTGAAAAGAAGGTCTCAATTACCTTTTGAGCTTTGTGAATGCCTTCTGAAAGTCTCAGCATGTCATCTCATAGGTTTAAGTAGCTGATATTTCTCTGATGTTATGTCACATCAGACTTTTAAAAGTAGCCCAGCAGAATACTGGACTACAGTTCAAGAAAGTTAAAATCTTTCTTACAGTGGGTTTGCAAATGCTTCAAACAGTCAGCAAATTAGCTGGGCTGATAACCCTTCGGATGGAAGAGTTATGCAATCAAAGATTAATTTAGGTTGGGACTTCTGAAAGTCATCTAAACCAAGCTCCTGCTCAAAGCAGGGCTAACTGAAGTCAGATCACTTTGTTCACGGCCTGATCACTGTTCGTGCAAACCACTGGCTAAATTAAATGTCTACATTTATTATAGATTTTTGAGAGCATTCATTCATGTTTGTGCTGCTTCAGCCA